TGAGGGAGCTGAATTTCCCTCTGCTCCATGCAGTTCAGCCCACGTCACTGTTGGAGTGAACATCTGCCGCCTCTGGATCCTGTTTTTCTCCTGTCTGAAGTTCAAGGAACAGCATCTCCTAAGTTTTCTCGTATACTCTTTTATTCAGCTAATACTCAGAAGGCTTGTCTTGGTTACTTTTCTCTTTTTGCTGAGACAAAATACCTGATGCCCAGAATTAAGGAAGGAAAGGTTTATTGAGCTTACAGTTTGTGGAGGTTTCAGTCCGTACTCAGCTGGCTCCAAGGCAGGGTGGCACATGGCAGAGGACAACAGTTCATGGCAGTGGAACACAGCAAAAGCAGCAAGAGCAAAAAGGAGGAGTGGCAGCCAGCAGCCTCTTCTTCTCCCTTACATATGCAAACTATCTGCCCTAGGGCAGGTGTAGCACTCACACCCGTAATCCTAGAAGCTCACCCCATGACTGCATGAGGATTTGAGGGGACATGCAGACACAAACCATAACAGGGCTCTGGCTGTGTGACAGCTACTATGCTAAGTATTTATCATATGAATGAAGAAAACAGATAAGGGCTTTTGACCTGCAGACATTCTGGTCCTGATTCTGTGGCTTGACTGAGCAAGGCCAGCTCCTCCCCGCCGGCCCCACTGCAAAACGGCACCCACCATCCCCCCTGGGTCTCTGACACCTGTCCTGTGCAGTAGTTTGTCTACCCTTCCCTCTTGCTACTCATTATCTTTTACTTCCTTCCAGGATATCTTGAACTTTCCTAGTCCACTTCTAGGAATCAGCTGAAATTCAGAGACCATGTAGTAAAAGAGGTTAAAAAAAAAGAATTCAAACTGGCTTTAAGCAAAATTTCAAAAGAGAAGACTGCTTTTAGGGTGTGTCACATAACAACTTTCACTCCAGCCTCTGGATCTCCAGACTCTGTTACTATTTTCAGATTAGGCCCTACCCATGATTTTTCTCACACCCCATTCCCTTTAAATTCTCCAAGGTTCTCTGACCTCTATCAGAACCTTTCTTTCCTTACGGTAGTTATCATACCTACTCTGTTCTTCCAGCTGGGAATGAGGACAAAAACCATATGGATTAACTCACATAGATTTTTGAATGATGGATGTTTTAGTTACTTTTCTGTCATTGCTGAAACAAAATACCCGACATCCAAAGATAATAAGGGAAAGGTTTATTTAGCTGACACTTTATAGAGGTTTCAGTTTATAATTGGCTGGCTCCAAGGCCAGGTGGCATGAAAGAGGAGCAACAGTTCATGGCAGCAGAAGACAGCAAAATCAACAACTGAACCTTAACAGTGTTTTTCTTCCCCTTTTATACTCTATCCAGGTTGCTAGGATTAGGGTGGCACCAATCCAATCAGTGGACTGATCAGCAATCACCCATTCTTAATCCAAGCACACTTAACCCCAGCACCCTCAATCCCAGCATTGTACCATGAATCAGTCACACACTCCAAATTCAGCCATCTCTGAAAAACTCTGTTAGTGCATGAGGCTTTGCAAGGACATCTAAACACAAACCAAAACATTCCACCCTTGGCTTCACAAAGACTCATGTACATCCCTTTATATAAAAGGCATTGAGTCATCTCTAAGACTAGCCAAAGTTCTAACAGTTTTAGCACTGCTGAAAAAAGTGCAAGTCAAAATTCTCTTCTGAAGGGGAAGAAGGAGAAATTTTGTATGCATGTATATACAGGATAGATAACATGGTTGTTCTTCTGCCTTCTATTTCTATGCTGAAAGAAACTGTCAATGAGTCTTTGGTTGACCAGTATTGCATGTCTATATCTGTTTTCATGAGAAGCCACTTTGAAGATATCAATATGTAATACAACCACCATTGTTAATTCCCTACCACTTTGTTTGTAACTCTGTATTGTCTGTATTGTGCTTGTGATATGTTGTAAAATGTTGTATGTCTGTTAATGTTTCCCTCCTTTTATCTTTAAAATAAAAAAAAAAATTCTCTTCTGAGATTTAAGGCAAAATCTTAGCTGTGAGCCCTTATGCAAATGAAAAGAAAGTTAAATACTTCCAACATTCAGTGGTACAAGATAGACATTTCCATTCCAAAAGTTACAGTGGGGATACAAAGGAATGTGACCAAAGCAAGTCCAGAATCCATCAGGGCAAATGTTATGTCCTGTAGTTCCATGTGCAGCATTGGAGGCTCTGCTCCTACAGCACTTCCGGTGGTGGTAACTCCTATGGCTTCTCTCTTGGGCCCGCTCTGCTCCTTCCTTGCAGATTTCCTTAGATGATCCACATTCCTGGCTTCTCCAAACTTCTGGGGTCTCCACTGCACCTTTGGCTTCACACTCACAGCTTCATACACTGCCCTCTCAAGCACACATTGCCTGGCATCCCAGGCCTTCTGAAATCTGGGTGGAAGCCTTCCTGAACCTACAACTCTTACAGTCTGCATGCACCCAAAACCAGTGCCACATAGATGAAGCCAAGGTCAGTTGCCAGCTGGAGCAGTAGCTAGGCTTCCCTTTCTCTTGGCTGTAGGAGTCAACTGCCTGGATTACTGGGCACTGTGAATCCAATTCTGAGGAACAAACTCTCCATGCTCCCCAATTCTCGAACATGGTGTGGCCATCACCATTCTGGAACATAGTATTTCTCAGTTTTCTTCTCAAAGCTAAGTCTTTCACATTTACAATTTTGAGGCTGCAAAAGGTGGAGTCCTGCTGCTGCTTGTGATGCTCTCAGGCCTTATATTCTATTCTCCAAGGAATCAAGATCTCTTCTGCTCCATCTTTGCTGTCCATAGTTTCACTGGATCTTCCTTTCTGGCCAAATGCACAGTGTTTTAAATCATTCTGCTGGGCTCTTCCCAAACTCTTCCCACAAGTCATTTCCAAAGGCTCCTGAACCGCATGATCAGGTATAGTAACACAATGACCCCACTTCTCTGGTACCAAATTCTGTCGTAGTTACTTTTCTCATTGCCGAGACACAATACCCAACACCCAGAGTTAAAGAAGAAAATGTTCATTAGGCTTGTAGTTCATAAAAGTTTCAGTCCTTAATCAGCTGGTTCCAAGGCAGGGTAGCTCCTGGCAGTAGGGCAACAGTTCATTTTGATGGAAGAAGCAAAAGTAACAAGAGCAAAAGGAGGAAACAAGCCTTGTTCTGCCCTTTTATCTTATCCAGAATGCTGAGATTAAGGGCTGGGGATTTAGCTCAGTGGCACAGCACCTGCCCAGCAAGTGCAAGGTCATGAGTTTGATCCCCGGTACCGGAAAAAAAAAAAAAAAAAAAACAGAATGCTGAGATTAAGGCAATGCCTGTCCAGTCAATAGACTGATCCAGCAATCACCCACCCTTAACTCTAACACCCTTAATCCCAGCGTTGAACCATGAATAAATCACAAACTAGATTCAGCTACCTCCAAAAAAGCTCCATCTAAAAGTACATGAGGCTTTGGGGGGACATCTAGACACAAACCATAACAGTGGATATCGCCCTTGGGAAGGGTGTATAATTGCATTTTACAAGTGGTTGTGGGTTTTTAAAAAGGAATCTTTAATTTGTCACATTTTATGCAGCACAATTAAAGAAGTGATTAAAAATATTAAGCAAGAAACATCCTCTTCCTAGAATTAGCTTCCCTAAATTCTTCTGTTTTCTCACAACTTCTGCTCCTGACACCATAATTCTCCAAAGCCGCTAAGATTTCTACCTCTACCAGTTCCAGTAATGATAGCAACCAGGGCACAGGCAGCCAGAGGTCAGGGTCATGGCCATGCTATTCATAGGAATTGTTTCCAAGTCAAGGAGTGCCTCTGCGGTTGCAGAAGGGTGCCCAAGGGGTTCTTGGCATGAAAAAGCAGTCTCCCCTAGAACCAGCAAGGTATACACCCAGAGCTGATACCAGAACTGAATTTTGTGTTTGTGGCTTTCACAGAGAAGTGTGTCAGGTCCCTGGCTTCCTACTTCCAGTGAGCTGTTAGGTTCCTATAAAATACAATTCCCTAAGCCACTTCCATTTGTCATAAGAGCAGCAACCTTCTGCCACAACTGATCGATCAATTGCTGGAAAGTGGCTGACAGGAACCACTTTGGAATCAGGTCTGAGGATAGGAGGCGCCACGGGGACCAAGCCCAAGAGAGGGTGCTCTGCAGCTATCGATCCTTCAGCTTTAAGAACTGTGCGCTCTCAGAAGTCCTTGAGTGGCCAAAAGCTCTTGGGCACACGTTTTGAAGTGTGTGGATTTTCTGAGTCTTCAGATGAGACAAGAGTGGCTTTTTCTGCACCCAGGATATTATCCTAAAGAAGAGTCTAGGCCAGAGGTTTTCAGATTTTAATGTGTTTATGAATCACTTGGGGGTCTTTACTGCAGCGCAGATTCTGGTGTAGTGAGTCCAGGGTGGAACTTGAGAGTCTGCATTTCTACCAAGCTCCCAAGAGAAGCCAATGCTGCTGCCCCACTGATCCTTTGAATAATGAGGGTCTGGAGTTGTCCTGTCCCCTGCAGTGAATGCTAGCCACGTGGGACTACTTAGAGCTAAACTAATTAAAATGAAGTAATATTGGAAATTTCGTTTCTCCATTGCGCTAACCACAGTCCAAATGCTCCATAACTATGTATGGCTGGTGGCTGCCACCTTGGATGGCACAGATAAGAATGTTTTCATGATCAGACAAGGCTCCACCAGATAACCCTGAAATACATCCTTCTTTTACGATGCACTTCTTCACGGAGTATTTGCTACGTGCGGAGTGGCAGTGGTGCTGAGGCGCTAAGGCAGTGGTTATAGCTAGCATTAAAAGTCATCGAGGCAACTGGAATGCCATACCCACGGGATGGGGATGCCTCCTACATGGTGCAGGTTGGTAATGGTGGATTCTGTTCTGCAGGTGGGAGATGGCATCTCCTGGCATTTTGTGAGTCATCTGAACCAGGCTGTGGTTGGCATGCAGTGGGGGACCGATGAGACTGACAATATATTTTCACCGTTTCAGGGCCATCATCATCAGAAACGGAGAAATCATCCCCATGTCGTCGGAATTCACCCCTGAGACTGAGCGCCAGAGGCTGCAGTACCTGGTAAGAGTCACATAGGTTTGGCAGAGGGCGGTGGCACTGGGGACAGCCTTGGAGCCGCTCGGGAAGAACAGGACGCTGTGACCTGGGAAAGGCCCACCGCAGTCAGACAACATATGGCACCGGCGCCCACACACACCTTCTGGATCGCACATCTTGACTCTGTGTGTGATGACACACGCCACCTCCATGCATTCATCACTGTGGCCGATTTTCTCCCATCTGTGGCCAATGGAGACAGGATGTGCTGCGTTTCTGAGTGGATCGGGCTGCGGCCCTGAGTGGTGGGAAGTGCGGCCCTGCAGAGCGCAGACACCTTCCCCGGCCTGCCTCTCACGCTCGCTCACGCGGGGGTTCGCTCCGGATCGCGCTGCGAGTGGGCGGCTCTGCCCCCGCCGGCACGCCACGACTTCACGCCAGACAGGAAGTCTCGGGCCCCCTCAGGAAGGTGCAGGTGGGGGGAATCTGTTTCTGCATCTCCATCTCCGTCACCTGCTTGGGGGTGAAACTGTGGGAGGACCAGAAACTCGGTCTTCTGGGGAAACAGGGCAAACTCGCTTCCCTGCCTACAAATTTTGGGGCAGGGCATTAGGCTGAAGATGGCAGTTCCGAGTGACTGTGGTGAGTGTCCCAATACTGTGGGGCCGACATCGCCAGAGACCGACGCTGTAAATAGCAATCTGTGGAAGAACTGTCTTCCTGGAACTTGATTTGTTTTTAGATAACATAGCGGGAGTAGTGACTGCCTGCTCTTAGGAAATAATTGACCCATGCTGCTAAGAAAGGGCTTTGTTCTCATGTCTCTGGGTTTCAAGACCTGTAAATGGTCACGATTTGATTACTTTGGGTGAGTTAGAAGGTAGCTGTGCACGTTCCCTCCATTGCCTTCTATGCGTGATTTATAACTAAGCTATATCAGTGCTTCTAGTTACCTGGTATATAAGACAGCAGGACTCCCAAACCAGCGCAAAAACAATGCTTCTCTCTTTTACCTACTGTCATTTTCTACCTTTATAGCACTGCCTTTGTGCAGATAAACTTGAACCCTCGAGTAGCAACGTGGACTGCGGGGGGGCCCCCCATTTGCTTTGTCACCCAGGCGGGTGGGAAGAACACTGCAGCTCCCACAGAAGGTTCTCCCTCTGGTCCCAGCTCTCTCACTCCCTGGCTTGCTCATCTTGTTCAAGTCTCTTAACCTTTCTGGACCTTGTGAAGTGGAGAGCTAGCCAAGAGGGTCACAAAGGCCCCTGAGGTGCGAGGGGCCCTTCAAGTAGAGCTTGTAGCCACTGGCTGGCTGCCATCCGCCTGGCTTTCTCCAGTCCGCCATCCAGGTGAGCCTGGCACCCCCTGCCTAAACCCTTAGGCTGCCCACAATGTACTGAATGCAGGCAACACACTCACAGTCCTGCGCACATCAGCAGTAGCGTCTCCCTGCTGCCACCGCCGCCATCACCGTGCACCCACACTTCACCGCGTAACTGTCGTCCGCCCACAACACCCCCTACCATCTCTGACTGCCAGGCCTTTCCCTTCTTCTCTGCCGTCGAGATCCCAGCATGAGTGACACTTCCTCTGGGAAATGTCCCGGGATCCTCCCCTGGAGCTGGTCCGCAGCAGTGTCTAGCGGCCGCAGTGCCTCCCAGCATATGTTAGCATGGTCTGTCCGTATCTCTGGGGCCCCCTCCAGAGTGAATTGCGGAGCACAGGCCGCTCACCCCTCGCCTCGGTTACCTCATACTCAACGCTCCGGTTGGCACAGAGGAGACTCAGAATCAGTGTATGCTGACCAGCTGAAAGGAAGCTGGATCAACAGCCAACAGTACTTCCCCTCTCACATGTCACAGCAGAGCCCTGGGGCTCGCACTGTCCTGCCTGGCGGTACTCTGCCTTCGTCACCTTCTACCTGACTGAAACCAATTTCTTTTTCCATTTTCCTACCAGAGTCAATGAACAAGTTATCATTTTGTGCTTTTTATTTTGAAATGATTTCCTGTTTTCATGTTACAGGAATGAACATGGGAGACTAACTTTTAGGGAGGGATGGAAATTATTCAGATCGGTGAATATAAGGGGTCTATTTTGGGACGGGTGGAGTAAGATGTGTTTAGCTTTGGGTCTCAGCTTGGTCACAAAACTGTGTGTGTAATTTCTACAAGATGCTTCACTGCTCTTCAACCATCAGTTATGAGGACAGAAAACTTGGTGAAGGGAGTCAGTGAAATAGTATGTGCAGAATTCTTTTATGGCACACAGTACTCACAGTACTTCTTGGGCTGGTTTTGTTGGGGTATTTTTCTCGTTGGGGAGTTGGTGTTGAGACAGGGTCTTGCTATGTAGTTCAGGCTGGCCTTGTACTCACTCTGTAGCCCAGAATTCAATGGCAGTCCTCCTGCCTCAGCCTTCCAGTGCTGAGACTGACAGCATATGCCACCACACCCAGCTGTTTGGGGTGTTATAAGGAAGTACCATAAATCAGTTGGCTTACAAACAACAAAAACTTATTTCTCACAGATCCGAGAAGTCCGTGATAAAGATCACAGCAGACACAAGGTCTAGTGAGTGTCTGGCTCAAACCAGCCATCTTTTCTGTGCAGTCTCATATGGTCCAAGAGACAAGGGCGCCCCCTGGAGTCTCTTTTCCAAGGCCACTAAACCCCATTCGTTAGGGCTCTGCGCTGATGACCTAATCTTCTCCCAAGGCTTTACTTCCTAGCGTAATCACATTAGGCATTTGGCTTCATCTCATGAATGTTGAGAGTATACATTCAGTCTATAGCAAAATCCTCCTGGCCTATAACCCACAAAAATATTGGTTCCTCTTTTTTATTATTTTAATTTAAGAACCACTTTTTTTTTGTACCAGGAATCGAACTCAGGACCTTGTGCTTGCCAGGCAGGTGCTGTGCCACTGAGCTGCATCCCCGGCCCAAGAACCACTTCTTCTGTTGTTAGATTAATGTATATTTTGGTCACTCTTAAACAATCAGTGTGGACACTATTAGTCACAGAACTGAGGATAATGTTTGAATTTCCAAAAGACAAGAACACTGTCCATATTCCTTTTAATCCCTCCTACTAAGTCAGTTAGTTTTTCTCAAGTTTGTAACTACACCAGCCCAAACAGACTGAAACTGGGTGTTTCTCCCACACACCGGGTGTAAATGATCAGAACATAAACTTCCTCGGTTAGCCAACTTCTTGTTTCTCCAGGGGTCTAGGAATGTGTCCTTCAGAGTTAACAAGTCCAATAATAATAACCACGTGATGTGACTGTTTGTGACAATATATCTGAGAGAATATTTACAGCATAAAATAACCTTGTGTTGTGTTTAAGTCTCAAATGGCCCCCACTCAGAGTCTCCTGTTCAGCAGTGGAGTCTTGTTGAAAGAATGTTGTCTCAGTTACTTTCTCATGGCTGGGACAAAATACCAGACACTCCCAGGGTAAAGGAGGAAAGTTTACTTTAGCCCACAGTTTGTAGAAATTTCAGTCCATAGTCAGTTGGCTCCAAGACAGGGCAGCATGGCAGAGGAGAAAGAGCTCATGGCATGGTAGGTGGTAAGCCAGTGAACCTTCCTTCTTTCCCTTTTTATTCCCTTTGAGCTACGAGCCTATTGGCTGATGTCACCGATGGATCTTCCTTCTTCAGTAACTCTATCACCCACACCCAGAATTATGCAAACTAATAGGTAAACTAATCTAGTATCCTATATCCAAGATTGAAACCCTTCCCAAAGGTCCCATCTGTGAGCATGTGGGGCTCTGGGGGTACACCCAGATGGAAGCCATAACAGGTAGGTCACTGGAGACATGACGTGGGAGGCTATATTCTTGCCCTGGCCCCTCCCTAGCCTGTCTGCTTCCTGCCCACCACAATATGAGTACTTTTTTCTCTACTGCGTCCCAACCACACTGTTTCTGCCTTTAAAGCCAGCTGACCATGTACTAAAGCCATGAGCTAAATTGTGGATGTCTCGCTTTTAAACTGTGGATGTCTCACTTTTTAATTTCGTCCTGGTGGCAGGAAGGCTGACTAATACATCTTATGGTGAAATCTTCATGGTAGGTACACGTGAGAATGAGGAGGTTTATGGCATAAAACCTGGAAAATAGTAGTAACTCAAAGAGGAGAACTAGAATGTGGTGTGGACTTCTCTGAGACCAGTCGGTTCTGAGCTGTGTGACCTCAGTCTTCTCACAGAATGGCTGTGAATCTCCTTTTCTCCAGCGTTAAATAGGTAGCAACACTTCTACTGAGATACACAGACTATATCCTGAAAGGAACATGAAAAGGAGTAACATTGTAATAGAAGTTGCTCTTTGACTTATAATTTGGTTATGTCCCTCTGAACTCATCAGAAGTGGACGTACTTTAAGTCAAAACTACATTTTACAAAAACATCTCACTTGCCAACCATCATAACATAAACTTGCCTAATTTAACACATTCATGACAGGGCCATAATTCCTATGTCTTGCTGCCAGGTCACTGTGATTTGAATATATCAAGTTCCTCTGGCTTAAATCATTGGTGGTACGTGCATGGCTGTCCCATGTGGCACCGCCTGATGGGACTGTCCCATCCTGCCTGATGGGTTAGGCATGCATGTACCTGGTCATCCAGGCTGGCAGGAACATGTTAAGAACGCTCCAGACACTTACATTAGCCTAAAATTGGGCAAAATCATTTTACCCAGAAAAGCCTATTTTATAACAAGGCTTTGAATATCTCATGTGATTTATTGCATACTGTACTGAAAGAGAAAACCAGAATGGTTGGATAGATATGCTTTCGCACTATTGTAAAGGCAAAATTTTTAGTCAAATCATCCTAAGTGAGGGACCATCTGCACTGTACACTATCTTATGATTTTAAATGATCTAACCCTACTAATTTTTTTGAGCATCCATTCTCTGGAGCTAGCTGTGGAACTATTTAGTGCAACGATTGTTGTAAGGGTACCCTTTCGGTTTATGTGATCCCATCCAGTTAGTACACTGC